GATGTTTCTGACTATTCCTTTCTCTCCTCCTCCGGTGTCTATTTTATATTATAATGCAAGGAAAACCAAGATTCAAAAGACTGCCAAGCATCTTAACATTATTCCCCCCTTTTCCCCATTCCAACGATGACTCAATCTCTGTATCCCAGAGCCCTGTAGTTCCAAAGTTGTGCATACATCATTCTTTATCTCTGTCCCACTTAGCCCATTCAGACATGCCTAATTGTTCTCCCATCTGCTTTGTTCTTCCGTTTCCCTCTCCCGCCTTGTATATTGACCTCCTCCCCAGCACCCAAACTTTCCTGTGTCTAATCCCTACCCTGTGCTCCACCTTCCCCTCCCTCCGCTCACCCACTACCAACTTCCCAGCAATCAACAAAGAATTCCCCCTACCCCCCTTTAGTATGGTTTCTTTTTCTTAGTCTTTCTTTTACAGTAGTGGTCCTATAAGCCTTTTTTTTTTTCCAAAAAACTTTTTACATTCAACAAATCACGTAGTACTTTGTTTCATTTCAATGATTGCAATCCCTTCTATGTGACATCACTTTTCCCATTTCCTCCCTGTGGGTAGTATTTCTATTCCAACTTCTTCACCCTTCTGAACTTTGTGCTTTGGTAAGTAAGTGCTATCTTTTTTATCTTAAATGGTTGACCATCCCGTGGTGAGCTGACTTCACTAGTGTTGTTGTTCCCCTATACACCTGTCAACTGCCTGGCTGAGAATTGAGCCATGAGGGTGAGTTCCGTTGCAGACCTGAAGGGTAACCAAGGACCATAGTCTTTGGTTCCTCCAGTGTCTTTCAGACCAGTAATCCTGGTCTTTTAAAAATAATTTTGAATTTTGTTCCAAATTTTCTTCTACTTATTCTAGGAACTTCTAAGTGATCCCTGGTATTGGTTTCCTGGCACATTCTAGTTTTTCAGCTCTGGGGTCCTGGAAGCTGCTGTTCATATGCTCCTTTAGTTCCCTGGACTAGTTGATTCCAAGCAGCTTCAAGTTTCTTCACTCTTCTTTCCTCCACACAGGAGAGACCAATAGTTACCTTAGATGTCCACTCATGAGCTTCTAAGGTCTCAGTCATGGACAAGCCATTTTTAAGGCTTACCAGTAGTGTTGTTGTTGTTGTAATGTGCCATGGAGTCAATTCCGACTCATAGCAACCCTGTACAGGGTTTCCGAGGCTGTAAATCTTTACAGGAGCAGAAAGCCTCATCTTTCTCCCACAGAACAGCTGGTAGTTTCGAACTGCTGACCCTAAGGTTCACAGCCCGATTCGTAACCACTACGCCACCAGAGCTCATGGTCAACAGTTCGAAACTACCAGCTGCTCTGCAGAAGGAAGATGAGGTTTTCTGCTCCCATAAAGATTTACAGCCTCGGAAACCCTGTATAGGGTCACTATGAGTTGGAGCTAACTCCACGGCACATAACACCAACAAGAAACCTCAATTTCCCTATTAGTTACCAAATTTGAGAATAGTGTCAGGAAAAATACATGTGATGTTAGTATTTCTGGCTAAGAAATCAGTGAGATGCTATCATTTGTGGGCTTTGTCCCCCAGATCTGGAGTTTCATTGGACTGATCCACTCTTGTGGGGATGTTGCAATTAGATTTATGTATTTAAGAGGGAGCTCTGCTGGTGCTCTAAGGTAAGCACTGGGCTACTAACCACTGGTTGGCTGTTCAAACCCACCAGCTGTTCCATGGATGAAAGATGAGACTTTCTACACCCATAAGGATTTGCAACCTTGGAAAACCCTATACAGGGTTGCTATGAATTGGATTCGACTCGATGGCAGAGTTGTTTTAGGGGTCTTGGTGGGGTAGTGAGTTGTGTGTTGGAATGCTAACCACATGGCCAGCAGTTTAAATCTACAGCAGCTCTGCAGGAAAAACATGAGGCTTTCTACTTCTGTAAAGATTTATAGCTTGGAAATTATACATAGGTCATTATGAGTCAGAATTGACTCAGTGGCAATAAGTTATTTTTATCTGTTTTCTTTTTTTTTTTTTTTAAGTGCCTAAGAAGTTCTGGTAACGTAGTGGTTACAAATAGGGCTGCGAACCTTAAGGTGGAGGTTCGAAACTACCAGCTGTTTCACGGGAGAAAGATGAGACTTTCTGTTCCCGGAAAGATGTACAGCCTCAGAAACCCTGTTCAGGGTTGCTATGAGTCGGAACTGACTCCACGGCACATAACAACAACAACAAAGTGTAATCAAGTGCATAGTATTTGCATGTCTCTAAAGCGTTCCACAATGCCCTATCTCTCCAAGAGTGCTGTCAATGCAGTTGTCTGTTTCAGACGATGCCGACCTTGCCCCAGCTGTCGCTGGGGGATGGCAGCATGATGAGTAAGTTCTGAAGTCTGTGAGATGTGGCTCAGTATTTCACATGCCTGAGTTGATTGGACAAATCCCGCTATGGACCTAAGGACTTGGGTGGCCTCTAGTATCCTGAACATTGCTATTCAAAGTGTCTCTCTGGTGATAATTTATTTTTCTGACTTGTGTTTCCATTTCAGCAAATGAAAAGATTGACGACATCAATGGCTGTCCGAAGAACAGATCACAAATGGTAAGTGGTACATACAAAGAAGTGAGTGTTTGTGTTCTGTCTCTAACTGACATTGACCGCTTTGAAAACATTCACACCAAAAACTGTACTCTGTACTCCCAGGGATTTCGTTAATAAACCAAGAGCCACTTCCAAGTAGCCACGCTGGGCTTCCCTGAAATTTGTTTGTATTTACTGAAAAATAGCCATGATTTTTGTGTAGGTCTGTAAGACAGCAAACATGAAATGTTTTTGCTCTTAGGGACAAATTATGCAGAACTGGTACAGACATACGGTTGTTTAGGACTTGGACTGTTACGACTCATTCACCTCCTACAAGACCTACAACAGTCCCTGTGTGTGTGTGTGTGTGTGTGTGGTGCCGAGACACCGATAAAGCGGTGGTATTTCACTCTTCAGAAACGGAGGCTTGTGGTCTGATTGCCTTTAAAGATTAGAATGATACGAGATCAGACGTGTGACGTGTGCAGTTAAATCCAGACCGTTTTCAACACACCTTGACACGCGGTAGTCTGCCTTGATAAGCTGTTTAAACTATGATAGTAAAACTCTTTTTATAAAATAAGGTGGTCTTCTTAAGCTGTGCTTTTCCTGTTGCATGTCCTGCATAGAATCTTTGAATTAAATTTCAGGATCATTGTTGAGTTCAGAAAACATTGAGTTGTGATGCCCTCTGCCCTTAATTTTTCACTTCAAAACACTTTTTAAGCCCAAGTAAGTACATAAAGAATGTGTATTATGAGTCTTGTTAAAGTGATGCTAATACATGCTGAAGGTATAAAGGGCAACTTAAGGGCTTTTTCTTGCTGGACATTAATTTGCTTTCAGAACTCTAGGAAAAGGCATAAATTGTCACTCAATGCCCCCTAACTCTACATGAATAATTATGATTTGATACTGTTTATTGTTTTGAATTGTTTATCCCAATGACTTGGGCACACAGGAGTCTTTTCAGTAACTTCTTTTCATGCTCCAAACCCTTCTTATAAAGCGATAGGATGGTGTCCGTGGAGGCCGTGGGCAGCCATTTTCTAGTTTGCATTCTCCTTTTAGTTGATTTGCTCCACTGGAGATTTAGTTGGATCTGAACACCAGCCACTCCTCACATAGAAAAGTCCCCAGGCAGACCTCTCATGGCTTAAGTCTTAGAAGTGTGTGGCTGCTATTTTTACTAGAGCTGCTGCAGCTGTCGAGTATATTAATAATTAAGAAAAATTGGAAGATAAGAGACTTAATTTTAGTGCAGGCATCTTACCCATGCAATCATATCTTGACATGAAAGAGATACTATTATTTCCCTCTGGATAGACATGGATGTGTTTGTCCTGGACCATTACAAGGCCTACAGGGAACTGATATTAGAAATGTTGAACACTGTCTTCTCATTGGTGAATTTGTGTTGTCTCTCCCTTCTGTGTCGCAGCGTTGCTTGTTGCTTAAGCCTGCTTTAAAGCATATAACTGCCTCAGATTCTCCTGGGCAAATGTAGTTCTATTTGCAAATATGTTCTTCATAAATACTACCATAGCATAAATGCAATTTTGTGGTTTTTCCCTAACTCTTTCAGCTGGGGAAATATTGTTTGTTCGTCAACTGTGTTTTTTAAAACACAGAAATAATGAAATCCTATCATTGTTATGATAATTAGTTCCAGCTTAGGGGTGGGGAGGTAGACATGGTCTTTGGGGTAATTTAGCACAGAATAGTTCAGTGTACAGGATGGGAGTCCAGGATAATAATGTAAGATCATCCACCACAGTCATTCTATTCTGTAGGAAATAAGAAAGGTGACAGTAAGGCCAGAGAACCATGGTCCTTTGTCCTAAGTCGCAAAATAATGATGCATCCACAGGCAGAACTCACCAGGCTCACACAGGAAGCCCTCCTCGGACACATGGGTATTATTCTAATTAACAGGGTACGCGTGTGTGTGTGTGCACGCACCCAGAGTGAAAGCATTTCTACTCAGGGGAAGTGCGGTAGTGATGGTGGTGTTTGTTGTTAAGTGCCATCGACTTGGTTCCAACCCAAAGCTAGCCATATGGGGTTTCCAAGGAGCAGCTGGTGAGTTTGAACCACTGACCTTGTGGTTCAAACCAAACTTGCAGTCCTGTGCTTGTCCTACAGTGCTGAACCAGGGTATGAGAGAGCGATACAGATTATGACACTATCATTTCTAGCGTTCTGGAAAGTTAACTTCCCAGTTAAGACTTTTTTTTTTTTAGGACATCTGGCGTCAAAGATTTGTTGTTGTTTGCTAATCTGTACATGTTTGGAAGAAATTACTGAGAAAAATGAGAAGCACTGGTAGCGTAGTGGATTATGAGTTGGGCTGTGAACCCCAGTGTCAACAGTTTGAATCTACTATCCCCTCTGCTGGAGAAAGAGGAGGCTTTCTGCACCCCGGAAACCCTGTACAGGGTCGATATGAGTTGGAACCTACTCAACGGCACATAACCACCACCACCATCACTGGAAAAGGTACATGAAAAACGTAACATTGCATTGATAGAAGGAAGATGATGTACAATAAAATGACAATTTAGGAACTGTGTCTTCTTGAGTTGGAAACTCTGATTCCCCCGAAAATCATCAACATAAAGTAAGTTTCTTTATCCCTAAGAAAATGGATACAGCAAGCATTCGTCTTCAAAGCCCTTTTGGTAATGGAGCCAAAGAAAAGAAATTTTGTTTCAGAGCAGGAGGAGGATGGCTGCAATTCTAGATTCCACGGAGCAAGTTTCACTTCCGCAGCTCTTTAAGAGGTCAGACGGTGAGCCTTGTGGGGTCACCATAAGGAGCAATCACAGGAGGAAATGCATATCTTCCTTCCACCCCACCCCCACCCCCACCCCAATCTCTCCCCTCCTGCCCTCTTGGCTTGGTGACAACTCCTACTCTCTTCCCCAGAGGATGAGGAAGTGGCTACAACCCTGGTGAAATAGGAACTAGAGAGTTTCAGGAGCAGCGAAGCATAAACATTATGGTTATAGCATTGCAAACCTTCCCAGAGTGCTTACTAATGCCAAGCACTGGGCTGGACACAGTGCATACACAGGTGGACAAGATGTCTATATATTCCTGCCCTCAAGATCTCAGCGATAAGTGGGCAAGATATCGGAAAACAATCAGTGATAAAACACTGAAACTGCTATGGCAGTCTTGGCAAGGTGTACTATGGGCCGTTCCACTCCAGAGTAAGGGAAGGCTCAAGGATAACTTTGAAGGATGAGTCTTGGAAGGCAAGAGAATTTACTAACTGTGTGAAAGAGGATTCCAAGCTCAGACAGCCCAGGCTGAAAACTCATTACTGAAGAATCTGTTGACCTAAGGAGGTCATGGACAGTGCAGAAGAAGGCTTTGCAAACATTTGTTCATTGATCTTGCTGAATTGCCAGTTGACATGAGCTGAGTCTGGTAAGATTCTTGTGACCTCTAAGTAATGTCATCCTTTTGCCCTTTTGTGCTTGAGGACGAAAGGTCAAGGAAGAGTCCAGACTGTGACCCGATAACCATGGAACCCTTTTCAGACCCGGGACAAGTTTCCTGCCTCCCTCATCATCCTGCAGATCACTTACTCCTGTTGATGGGAGGCCAACCATGGGATATGGGGAATGAAGACTGCCTGGTTGAAATGGCTGTTAGTATTTTTACACAAATGCATCTGTGTAGGGCGTTTTAGGGTTGGCAGCCCCTTTCACACTCATGAGCACATTTGATCCTCCATTAAGAAGACAAGAAAGAAGGAAAAGGTCAAAACGGATGTCAGAAGAGACACTGAAACTTGCTCTCCAGCATAGAGATGCTAAAGTAAATGGAAGAAATGAGGAGGTACAAGAGCTGAACAGAAAATTTCAAAGGTCAGCTTGAGAAGATAAAGCCAAATATTACAACCAAATGTGCAAAGATCTGGAATCAGAAAACCAAAAAGGAAGAACACGCTCAGCATTTCTCAAGCTGGGGGAACTGACAAAAAAGAATTCAAGCCTTAACTTTCGTTATTGAAAGATTCTCTGGGAAAATTATTGAATGATGCATAAAGCATCAAAAGAAGATGGAAGGAATGCACCAGAGTCACTGTACCAAAAGGAAATGGTTGCTGTTCAATCGTTTCAAGAGGTAGCAAATGATCAAGAGCCAATGATACTGAAGGAAGAAGTCCAAGGTGCATTGAAGGAATTGGCAAAGAACAAGGCACCAGGAATTGATGGAATAAAAATTGAAAATTTTCAAGAAAGTGAGGTGGCATAGGAGGTACTCACTCATCTCTGCCAAGACATTTGGAAGATAGCTATCTGGCCGACTGATTGGAAGAGATCCGTATTTATGCCCATTCCAAAGAGAGGTGACCCAACGGAATGCAGAAATCATCAGACAATCTCTTTGATATCCCAAGTGGGTAAAGTTTTACTAAAGATAATACAGAAATGACTACAAGCATACATTGACATAGAACTTCCAGAGGTTCAAGCTGGATTCAGAAGAGGCCATGGAATGAGGGATACTATTGCTGATGTCTGATCGATCTTGGCTGAAAGCAGAGAATATCAGAAAGATGTTTACCTGTGCTTTATTGACTACACAAAGATTTTCAATTATGTGGATCATGACAAGCCTTGGACAATATTGTGAAATATGAGTATTCCAGAACACTTAATTGTGCTCATGAAGAATCTGTACATGAACAAAGAGGCAGTTGTTCAAACACAACATGGGAACACTGAATGGTTTAAAATTAAGAAAGGTGTGCGACGGGATTTTATGCTTTCACCATACTTATTCAACCTGTATGCTGAGCAAATCATCTGAGAAGGTGGGTTATATGAAGAAAAATGTGGCATCAGGATTGGAGGAAGACGCATTAACAACCTGAGATAGGCAGATGACACAACTTTGCTTGCTGAAAGTGAAGAGGATTTAAAATATTTACTGATGAAGATCAAACAGCAAGGCCTTTGGTATGGATTGCATCTCAATGTAAAGACAAGAAAAATCCTCAC